GGCAAAACGTATGCCACATAGACAGAAACAGAGTCAAGCTTTTCTTCTATACTTCAGGGTTTGAGTTCATCCGATGGTTTCCCTGCAGCACTGGATGGATACTCTGCTGTGTCCTACTTTAATAGTGTCCCTCACTGTCACTTTTTATGTCACAGAGAGTTATTTAGCTGCCCAGTAACTGGAGAAACCACCGCAGGCAATCAAAACATTAAAAAGGGAGTTAATGCACACAGCCCATGCTGACCAACTATTGATCTTGATCTATATCAGCCACCTTAGTACATTTTTATGTTAGGCTGTTAGGCATTTTGTTATTTAGATTATATTTTCACCAACTTAACTTACCTACATGACGTCATGGGAGGGTTACATTTCCCGTCAGTGACTAAAACCAGCACAGGATTGAAATTTAAACAAACATAGCTTATCACCAGGATCTTAATCCCAGCTCACGTCACCAATGCTGGTGCTGCAAGTCGTGAAACGAATGAAGTCATTTGGAAACCAATGAAACTTTTCGTTAACACCCTGAGAAATAATATATCTGTAACTGGGACATGATAATGAAATCAATCAGTTCAGTATTGAAACAGCTGGGTTATTTTCTGCCCAGGATCTGTGTCCCTCCATACAACCTTAAATTAAAAAAAGGCCTGTTGTGGTTCTATGCTGAGAAAAGATTAAAGAAAAATCTTTATTTTTTTTGTATGATGATGACAACATTACAAAACATTCTTAATTTTCCTGTCCATGTCCTCTTTAAGGTACCTTTGCCCATTATTTATTCTAAAAATGATGACCTCTTGGCCTGGGTAACGCAGTTTGCCTTGTAGGGATGGATATGAGTTTCAATGAGGCTGGATTTAGTCCCTAAAAGGAGTCTCTCAGTTAATTTGAAAGTAACTAATCCCTTTCATACAGACGCATACGCTGCTGAGGAATCAATTCTGGGTTAAGTGTCTTGCCCGATGACACATTGGACATTTTGCTGACAGGACCTGGGGATTGAACCCCCAATGTTCCAGTTGAGAAAAGACGGACTCTACCAACTGAGCCACAGCCACGTCAGGTCTGGCCATTGATATATTCTGCAGTCCAGGAATGGGATCAGAAGCAGTTCTGTTTGGGTGACTCAAACCCTGTGTTGTAGGATGAAGATTGGAATTGAAAGTGGCTGGAACTTTGGAAGAATTGCGATAACCCTCTCGACTAATTCTCCCCTGTTTTGGTTACGCTGTTTGTCCTTATTGCATGGTTCCTTAATGTATAACAAGTGCAGAGAGTCTTGTTCGGTAACTCTAATGCAACAAAACCAGCTAACTGAAGACATTAACACGCCTTGAGTGCTATCAGGCTCAGCTCTCAGTCTGAGTTCCTCAAAGTGTCTTGCCTTCCATTGCTTCGAGCTGAGTGCAACATTTCAAGCATGCTAAGCCTCCCTTCCATCTAAACAAATGGATAATTCCAATTAAGCATCCTCTGCTGGAGCGGACGTATTACAGCCCACCCTTCAGTTTAATTAAAGGACTCTTTCTGTCTGATTAGATTTGTTCCTTTGGAATTCAAAATGTGTTGAGGAAGCATGTGGAGGGGATTGAAGATGCAATGAGAGCATCAAGTGTCTAAGTTAGAGATGGAACACATTTTTTATAATGAGAGTTGTTTTCCCATGACGGAGGACCTGCCTCAGCGTGACTTTGCTGAACGGAGAGGAGGCCTTCGAAATAAATACCAAAAAGGCACTTTGTCATATGAAAGAGTGTTTTGTTTGTCAGTGCTTTCCAATGTGTTATAAATGACTGTAACTAGAATAATTTATCAGGCAACTTATTGATCCTTCTCAGTCATGGTTTAGATGATTTTTCTCTTGGGATGAACAAAAATAAACATATTTTCCAAATGTTGATTCTTGAAATAAGTTTTTTTTTGTGAGGTCATGCTTGTTCTGACTCCTCTTCAGCAAGATAATGGTCATGATTACCAAACAAATAGAGGTTCTCAGCTTTTTTGGTTACTTGTACCATAACTACCCTACATTTTTTTTTTTTTACCTGTTAAACTTAAAAGCTGTACTTTAATGTTTAAAGGAAAGTCTCCTGAAGCCTCCAATGCAGTTCCAAACTTTTTTTCGTCAAACGATAGAATTAAACGCTCATGGCTCGTAAACACCAAGCAGCAACCTCCGGTGTTGAAAAATGGAGCCGATGTGGAAGTGCAAAGAACTGTAGATCCCCGAGTATCCACAAGACACCCGAGAGTCACATACACCCCAATTAAAAAAACATGTTTACAGCTTGGTTCAAAAAAACGAAATTGGTCTGATAAGTTATTGTCCTCATGGGCACACTCTGCACAGGGAGTGAATTTTAATAATAACTCTGTTTGGTTAGGAGTTATGCATGGCTGGGCCCATGGTTGACTTGATTGGCGGGCGTGCGTGGTGTAATGGTTTGTCAGAGATTGAGGTTTATGACCAGGTAATGCTGTGATAGATGTAGAAAGCAATAGCCTTGTTCTTAGTCTGTCCCCCTCGTCTATCCTCTACAGACAAACAAAATGAAATAATATTGATTGCATTTTGTCAAAGATGTTGCTTCATGTCAAAAAGCTCCCATTTCCACCGCAGATGTCAGCCGCCTTTGTTTAGTTTTGGAAAATCGGCTGACATTTTGAAACTCTGGGCTAATAACTACACAACAGTGGCAACTCTCCTCGGCTTTGTTGGATGCACAGGAGACATTCTCTCTCAGGCTGATTTACTCTGTGTTCAGACACAAGTGTTGGATGGCACACCAACAACAATAAGCCTGTGCCCTGTAACATTAATTGATGTTTTTCTGGTATCTGAAGAAGGCTCTGTGAGCTATTGCGATGAACAGCCAATCAATAAATAAACTAAGCTTTACTGTCTACGCTCACAGTACAGAAAAACCTACCAGCTAAAGTTTGGGTTCACATCTAGAGTCCATAGATTTCTAGGCGGTTGTTGCACAGGAAAAGACCACTTTATCCACTAATTTCAAGATTGTCCATTTAAGATGGTATGCCAAAGTGTCCTTTGGAAAGAGACTGATTCCCAACATGCCCCTAAACGCTGTACCATCAAGATAGACATCTGTCTCAATGTGTGGTGTGAATGCTGACATGTAGAGAAAAGCTCTTTGAGTGGTCAAAAGAATAAAGAAGATGGTGTATAAGTGCAGCCCATTTTCCTTTCCCTCGTCATGCTGTCAGTTCAGTCTCCCACAAAGGAATTATGATTCATACGCTTTGTTTGAATGCACATCAGCACTGTTTGTGATTCTCTACATTTCTTTGTCTCATTCTGAAGTTGCTAAACTAATGTGTTGCGGTTATTGAGTTTTCAAACTCATTTGCAGGCACTTTTATTCTCTTTATTTAGATAGATACATTCAGTATGTTTTACAGAATACTGATTATGAACTACAGGGACTTAGCCGTTCTCATTTCACCTCTTAGATATGTGTGTGACTGTATGTTGTACTGGTGCTTTCACACATGCTCAAAACTCCTGAAAACTTCCTGTACTTTTTATGGTTTAGGTGTATGTGTGAACGCAAACGGACACATTTTTCACTTTGACCCCTTCCAGAGTTTTTCCTGCTTGCCCTCTAGTCATTTTTTTACTAAAGTCTGGTTGAGCTGATGTTGAAGTGCAGCAGGAAATATTCAGGAAAATTCACCGTTAGTGGATGGGAGGGAGTGACAACAATTACATCCTCAATGTGTAATGTCTGTTGATCTGTGGGAGCTTTCTGAACCCTAGTAATGACGTCATCAGAGTTACTTTGGCTCATGTCATCTCTGCATGGGCTTTGAGATTATAGAAAGTTTGCATTTCAAACTGAAAGAGTTTGAAAGACAAACGCTTTTAACAAGGAGTCTATGAAGTTTCATTACACAAATATAGGATGCAACAGTGTTTAGTCTTGGTGAATAATAACATGAACATTGGCTGTAGAGTCTCAAATCTCCTCTGCAGAGTTAAATTTTTAACACTTACATGTATTTTGGGTTTCAAGGAGTTATCTGCCGGCGTGATTAGAGCAGTATATTACATGAATCACAGCTCTCACTAGGATGTTTTTTTCGTTGATTATATGCTCAAAAGTTGCATTAAGAGCAGACATTAAGTATTCACTTTGGTTTAGGATCGGTCAGGAGGATTCATTTCTTCCTCTCAAGTCAGCCCTTTGCTGCACTCTATTTTAATATAAATAATAGAAATACAGACGTGATGATTCTTTTATATTGTCATGCACTTCCTCCTCCTGTCCTATGTTGAGATGATCAAAGGGCAGTTTTCTGTTTTTCTTCCAGTGAAACGCTGCTTTTGTTCCTCAAAGAAGTAGTTATCAAAGCACAGCATGCCCCATAGAAACCTCGCTCCGATCACAACAGTGTGAGGAGAGTAGAGGAAGGGGAACATTAAGAGCATTAGAGTGCTGCAGTCCGGTGTAACACGGCCGTTGTTACTGAACTCTGTCAGGGTTTATCCAATCAGCTGTAGAGGTTTGTGCTGCTTGGGCAAACACAGACTGGTATTGATCCGTGTTTTAAAGGCTCTGCTATCCATGTTTTATAAACCCTTGAGATTGTGTTGCTTTGCTTTTACTGAAATATTATCCTGCAAATAATTTTGAAACAAGAGCATTTTTGCTGTGCTGTATGGTTAATCTTCAATATATATAATTTATTTATAGGGTTTTAATTTCTCCAAATCAAGCTGCTGTACAGCAGAACAGTATTATTGCTGCTTTGCCCCATCTGAAGGGTTTCCGCTTTGTAAAGGAATGTGCATAGACGACAGGCAGCACTCAGACTGCTACTATAAATTCTCTCTCTCATATTTATACCCAGCCAGGGGTATCAAAGTTCACTTTTTCTGTCACATGACTCTTGCTGAACCACTCAGCATTGCCTTAGCGTAGTGACTCAGCAGACTAACCCTTCTGTGTTTGTGTCCCTGTGTGTTGCAGTGTGGAAGGTGATGCTCCAGGCATCGAAGTGGGCGCCTCTGTGGACCCCAGCAGCGGCTACAGTTGCGTTCCAGTGACCCACAGTGGCGGGCTCGGCCCCGACCACCTGGACAGCCAGCTCTACGGACACATCTTCCTGCCAGGCCACCAGCGGCCCCGCCGACCCAAGCTCCAGCACTCTCAGTCCATCCTCCGCAAGCAGGCCGAGGAGGAGGCCATCAAACGCTCCCGCTCGCTCTCTGAGAGCTATGAGCTCTCATCAGACCTACAGGACAAGCAGGTGAGGGGATGGAAGGGGGTACACAAACAGGAACAGCCGCTGTTTGTCAACATATTGCTTAAGGGTTTCTTTTTATCAACAAAACATTTTAGTATGAAGCACCAACACAGAAATGTTGATGTGGTAAAAAGCAGTGGCTACTGAGAGAAGTAGAAGTGGACTTAAAATATCTAAGTCACCAAAAAAACAACTCCATAGCTAAATGCTTTTGTGCTGTCTTGCTGCATGAGTAAATAAAGTTGGACACAAGTTATACTGTGCTACTTCACCTGCATTGACGGACAAACATTTTCAACCAATTTTTTAATAGTTAAAAAATGTGTATTTTCAATAGACATTTTCAATAGTCAACCAAACCTGTGTTTCACAACACTAAGTATATATTTGAACTATGTGTAACAAACAGTGTTGTAATGCATCATGGAAATGTTCTAACCAATGCAAAACATTTTCAAACTATTCCATCAATAGTTCTGTATATCTGTAAAAAAATAAAAAATAAAATGCCTTGCCTTGTGAATGTTCAGAAACCGACACATTACAGGATTCTGCACGTTTTTACTGCAAATAACAAACAGTTCAGTAATGGGAACCGAATAGTGTCATGTCAGTGAACATGTCTGGGTAAACCTTTGAAATAGATAGCATTGCTTAATGTAAGTTTAAAGAAGTTCTATCTAGTTAAAGAGAGAAGTGTCCATGCTCCTTTAAGTCCACAGTCCTTTTTGCACACACATGGTGCAGGGGAACATGATCAGTGTCATTCTGCTTCCCCTGGATCACTAAAAACAGATTCACAGTTTTATTTAAAAGATTTGCACATTATCCTTTGATAGTGGTTTGCTCTATAGCATACTCCAGTCCAGACTTATTCCTTTTCAGTGCAGTCAGTTTCATCCTTCTTTATAGGCATATGGACTTGAGTTCATATCGTAGTTTTTCCAGTCTGACTACTCAAAGTGCTTTCTACAACATATTTCACATTCAACTATTCATACCACATTTAGACACTGATGAGGGAGGCTGTGATGTAAAGTCTCATTAATTTATATTTACACTCCACTAACAGAGCAGCAGGAGCAATTGGGGGTTCAGTGTCTTACCTAAGGACACTTCAATGTGCAACTGCAAGAGCCTGGGATCGAACCCCCGACGTTCTAGTTGAGCTAAGCCACAGCTGCCCTTCTAATAAAAGATGATTAGCAACCACTGTCAATCACAATTGTCTTATTTGTTGCAATAGTTCTTCCAAGAGCAATTCCTCATCCTTATTTGAGATGTTACCATGTATCAGTCAGACTGGATTTCCATCATAATTTAACGTGATCCATCTTTCCTAGGAAGTCTATTTAAGACTAATAAACCGTCGTTTAATTTTAACCCTAACCCATAAGCTATCACCCCTCTTGAGATTTAAAGGGCATGATTAAAAATTGATTACTCAGAAGCATCATTCTTCATTCTGTCTAATCCATGCTGCCAAGGTGATAATCAGATAAAAGCTGCCTTTGTTCCAGAGCATTATTTTCAAAGCAGCGTTAATTTATGTCACAGACACTCGCCAGCTATAAGCTTAAAAATAGCTAAAAGTCTGGAGTTTGTCGCTTCACACAATGATTGGCTTTGTTAAGGTTGGATTCACGGCGCTGATCATCACCACTTTGAAGCTCATTAGCTCTGTCTGAAGTAGAATATGAATTCATGCTTTGGTGAAAGTATGTTTTCCGGGATTCTAATGAGAATGTGGGTGAAAAGCAGAGAAGTAGATCCAGCTGCAAGTTTCTTGAAAAAAAGTAGTTGTATTTGGAACTCAATGCAACAGACATGAGAGAGACCACTTCAGTACTAAGATCAGAGACGAACTGTTTGGCTCAGTTTTTAATACAGAAACCCTTTAAGCCACCCAAGAGTGTGAGATATTTGAAAGGATGAGCAAGGATTCTATTAAACAACCATCCTACCAGATCGTATCAGGTCACACTTTTCAGAGTACTGCTGGTGTTTGTCACCGCTGTTAACACCTGGGACCACTTCCACCATCTCATTTCAGAAACAATGTCTGTTTTATTTACTTTTTTGACTGTTTTTCAGATGCATCTATGACACCAACTTTCTTTGTCTTTCTGCAGGTTGAGATGCTAGAGCGTAAATATGGTGGGCGTTTCATAACCCGGCATGCAGCCCGCACCATCCAGACAGCCTTCCGCCAGTACCAGATGAACAAGAACTTTGAGCGTCTTAGGAGTTCTATGTCTGAGAACCGTATGTCCAGACGGATCGTCCTATCCAATATGAGAATGCAGTTTTCCTTCGAAGGACCTGAAAAAGTCCACAGCTCCTACTTCGAGGGAAAGCAGGTCTCGCTTACAGATGACGGCGCCAAGATTGGTGCACTGATGCAGTCAGAGCACGGGGGAGAGATGGGCATGCAGGCCAAGACGCCCACAGCACAGAGCGACTTTACAGACGCTATCACTGAACTAGAAGATGCCTTCTCGAGGCAGGTCAAATCTCTGGCTGAGTCCATAGATGATGCTCTAAACTGTCGCAGTATGCATGGTGATGAAAACCAGTTGGAGCAAGGTAGAAGCCTCCAGGATATGGACAGGGAGGTCAGCTGCCAGGTGAAACCCTCCCACAGTGCGGCAGAACATCGCAAACTGGACGAGATGACGGCGTCTTACAGCGATGTCACTCTTTACATCGATGAAGAAGAACTGTCTCCTCCTCTGCCCCTGTCTCAATCTGTAGACCGGCCATCCAGCACGGAATCAGACTTGCGCCAGCGTTCCCTCAACTCCTCCCAGGACTACTGGTCCCTGGCTCATAAGGATGAGAAAGGGGACACGGACACCAGCTGCCGCAGTACACCCTCGCTGGAGTGCCAAGAGCAGCGTTTACGGGTAGACCACCTACCCCTTCTCACCATTGAGCCTCCGAGCGACAGCTCAGTGGAGCTGAGTGATCGTTCCGACCGCAGCTCTTTGAAGAGACAGAACGCCTACGAGCGGAGCCTCAGCAACCAACAGAGTAGTCCCAAACACATCAGCCATGGCCTGCCACCCAGAGGACCTTCCAGGGAGGAGGACGCAGGCCGCCATCGACCACGTCAACTGGAGGCCCACCTGGCCATCAACGGCACTGCGAACCGGCAAAGCAAGTCAGAGTCGGACTTCTCCGACGGTGACAACGACAGCATCAACAGCACATCCAACTCCAACGACACCATCAACTGCAGCTCTGAGTCCTCGTCCAGAGACAGCCTGAGGGAGCAGACACTCAGCAAGCAGACGTACCACAAAGAGACTCGCAACAGCTGGGATTCACCTGCATTCAGCAACGACATCATCCGCAAGAGGCACTACCGCATCGGTCTCAACCTCTTCAACAAGTATGTACACTTCATAACAAGGAATCCAATTATACCAACTCCAGGCTGCTTATGCAGTGCCACACAATCTGGTACACGTACCATATCCTTTAAGGGACTGAAGACTAAGAGGTTATGTAAATTAGATCTAGTTCATTACTTGTGATAAAGATAATTATTTTCCAACAAAGAGCCCAAAATGAAATGAGCTGAAAACAGATTGTCTGATAAATTAGCAGTGACATTGCTTGATACAAGACAGCTGTCTGTTCTACTTCAGGTGCTAATGAGTCTAGGACTCATCGTGCTCTGTTTCAAGCTGAGTGAATCATGATTCCTTTTTAATCATAGACGATTGTGGATTTGGTTTCCTTCATAGCTGGTCTTTAAGTTGCTTTTAATCATGGTTGATCAAGACAGAAGAGAAAAGCAGTTCCTGCACTCAGCCCTCATCCCATCCACCCCCACCCCCCGCTCCCTGCCTCCCTAAATCCTGTCCCTCATCTGACACACACACTTGGCAAGGGGCACAAGTGCAGTGGGATAATCACAGATTTGGATTTTGGCCTCACCCCCTTTTTTTCTCGTTTCTCTCTATCCTCTCCCATTTCAACAGGAAACCAGAAAAAGGCATCCAATATCTGATAGAGCGAAACTTTGTTCCAGACACTCCAGTGGGTGTGGCACACTTCCTGCTTCAGAGGAAAGGCTTGAGTAGGCAGATGATTGGAGAGTTCCTGGGTAACAGGCAGAAACAGTTCAACCGGGATGTCCTCGAGTGAGTTTGCATATTTTTTTCTGTGTGCATTTATACATGAAGATATTCTAAAAGCAGCTTTTGACTTGACTTGGAAACTACGCCAGTGCAGAGACGTTTCGTTCCTCTGCCTTTCAGGAATATAAACCGTCATTTAGTTGCAAATGTGATCTACTCTCATTCAAATAAAGTTCCTGAGGACTGCTAACTCGAGTTACATCCAGGAAATAAACAGAAATAGGATCCACTCAGGAAATTGCTCAGATAAACATACAGACCCTGTGTATATTCTTCAGCTCTTTCAATCAGGAAGGGAAGTTGTAAAGATCTCCTTATTTTTCCAGTAGTTATTCATTGCATCATTCAAATAGCACCTCTATTTATGCTTTAGACTGGACGGACTTATCTGAAACACACTTGAGGCACACCGGCTCTATCGGCCCATTGAGATGCAGTGGAGGATAAGGCCAGGAAAGGTCCGTCAGTGTCAGTTTGACAGGCGTATCTAAAGGGCTCCTTGAAAAAATGTCGATAAATCCTGACATGCAAGGAATCAAAGCATCACGGCTGTGAGAGTTACAATCCTTACTTCAGTGGAGCAAATGTTCTACGGTCCTTTATAGAATTGGAAGTGGATGCTGCACCAAGCAACCATTTTTAAAGAAGTGGAAGGATAAAAGTTGTGTAGTATTGCAGTTATCCTCAGATCTGCTGACCTTTCAGCATCTTTATTTGTGTGTTTTCAAACCTGCAGTTTTCCCCTTTGCTGTTTGGTTAAAGCTCATTAATTTTTTTCAGCAACAGGCAGTTTTTTTTTTACATTAATACCTCTGTTAATAGACATTGCTTTTACAAAAGCAAAACACACTCATACAAAATAATATTGGGAAGCAAGTGAAAGTAACAAAGCATCTAAAGAGCTAAATGTTTTTTAACTGGAGTCGATGAACACAGAAACAGAGCTACAAAGTCAGTCAATATTTCACATTAATACTCCAAATGACTGCTTATGTTTCTTTCAGGTTACTGCTAGAGTATACAGGCATATTGCAAAATTGACTAAACTGTCTAAGTAAATCTTCAAAGAAAGGTATCTTGAGTTAAGTCCTTTTTTTACTTGAAGGGTAACGATTATAGTAATGTTTTACCTGGCAGCAGTTGTCCAGATGTGTTTTATATTGCAAATGGAAAATGGAAAATAACCAGTAGCTCTTGTTGTCTGCCACTGTGCTTCATGAATGTTCCTCCACATAGTGAAGACACGCACACATCATTGAATCCAATTCAGCTTTATTGAACAATTAAATCATTCCCCTTTTTGCATTGTCAGCCAATCTTCCCTCTTATCTGTGCTAAATGTGTGTTGATGGTTTTTTTTTTTCCCAGCTGTGTGGTCGATGAAATGGACTTTTCAAGTATGGAGCTTGACGAAGCACTCAGGAAGTTTCAAGCACACATAAGAGTTCAGGGAGAAGCTCAGAAGGTTGAACGGTTGATCGAGGCCTACAGGTAAGAAACTCATCTGACAGCAGAGGACTAAACATACTCTATAGCCTGCAAGGACTCATCAACTTGCACTGACCAAGGGGCTATGTGCTGTTTACTTGTATACTTCACAATGAATAATTGCCAATTGTACAAGCTAGCATCGTTCCACAATCCAATCTAAAACAGAAGTTACACCAAAATCTTCCAATCTTCTGTGAAATTCTCTGGCGTAAGAGCAGCAGGGCAGCATTTCAAAGCCATTTTGAAGTCTTCTCTTTTCATCCACATCCTCACAGAAAATGATTTAGCAGGAATAAGTTCAAAAAGCTGAGGAAAACCTTCCTCGGGGCTGCTGATGGAAGTTATTTGACTCCCCCCACCCCCATTTTTTCCCCCTGCAAACCTCTGGTTTAAAGGTGCCTTCATACCCGCAGAGAATTAGCTTCGATCAGCACTGAGCAAGGACATTTCTGCCTCAGTAATCACAGCAGTCAATGTTACATCGAGGAGATAACGATAACTGATCATGCCCCAGTCCAGATATGATCATGAACTCACTTTATGGTGAGTCAGAAAAAAAAACTGTTAAATGACCTCTCTAATGGCCACAGGCTACTTGTATTGACAGACTTAAATGGTCTGCCTCGTTCTCTGTTTGGCTTTTATGACAACTGTATGACTACAGCTCAAACAGCAGGGAGCCCAGTATCTATATCAATATTGATATTCCTGACCAAAAGTGGAACTAACACAGAACACTGACCATGGAGATTACTGATTTATATTGCCTCAAAGGATTGACTTGATATTGTTGCTTTGTGCTTTTATGAAAACAACATTTTTTTGTCACACTGAAGCTCTGTTCAGTGAGGTTTAATGCTGATACTGTGTTCCAGATTTAATTTTATTATAAAAAGGAAAAAGTAGCTGGCTTTATTTACCTCCATAGAGTGTATTTCGTGTATTTTGTATGATGTAGGATCTTGGTTTTAAAAGTGAAAGCAATTTAGGGGTCAAACAACTTTACCAACATTGTCTGTTGGGCTCTAACAAAGTATTAAATACAACTTTTCAATTCTGATAACCATCCTCTTTGCAGCCAACGCTACTGCATCTGCAACCCTGGTGTGGTGCGACAGTTCAGGAACCCTGACACCATCTTCATCCTGGCCTTCGCCATCATCCTTCTGAACACGGACATGTACAGTCCCAACGTCAAGCCTGAGAGGAAGATGAAGTTGGAGGACTTTGTTAAGAACCTTCGAGGTACTTTGTTCTCCCTCCCTGCACCTCGTCCAGCTTGCTGTCATAAAACCAATACTGTATAATCTTCAGATGCTACTGTGCAGCTCTGAGGATAAATATTCAGCTCAAATTGAGTTTTGTGCATGCATTCTGCCCTGATTAATTGCTGTGTCAATAAGGTAGTTATTTATTTTTGTTAGTCATGGCTAAGAAATCTCTGCTGTTGAGGCAAAGCACTTTTAGTTGCCTTAGACAGATTTTGAGGGTATTAGCAGGGGCTTTGCGGCATGGCTAACTCATTACTCTGCCTATTGGAGTGTCAGTAATTAAAGTACAGTATTGAGTAGAGAAGAAATATTTGTCCCTAGAGAGTTCTGAAGGGCGTTTCGGTCTGTACTGTGAGAAATATGTACTGCACAGCAGTATGTAAGTAAATTCAGGGGTTCATCAGCTTTCATAAATCTGTGAATTAATCATTAATCCTTCTCTCTCTCTTTCCCTCTAATGCTCTGCCAGGAGTGGATGATGGGGAAGACATCCCCCGAGAGATGTTGGTCGGGATATATGAGAGGATTCGCAAGCGGGAGCTCAAGACTAATGAAGACCATGTGTCCCAGGTTCAGAAAGTGGAAAAACTCATTGTTGGAAAAAAGCCGGTACGTTTGAGTTTGCCCTTGAGCTGCTGCACTCGAGAGTGTGACCACTTTTATCTTCCGCCTTCCATTCAGGAGCTGAATCTAGCAGGAGCATGCAGAACCAAATTACCCAGTGTACCTCTGAGCTGTCGCAGAGAGTACCAGCTTTATTCGTAGCCAATGTCCTCTAAGAACGGACGGGAATGAAAGAGCATTCTTTACCTGAACCCACTTTCCTCTCAGCGTGACACATCAATTCTTTGCGCCGGAGACCTTCTCACTGAATGACTGTAATATGTCTCATGCCCCAAGTGTCAACCCAGAAATGTGCTGTCTGACAAGCTTCCTTATAATAAATGACATAAACAGACTGGCATGCACCCGATGATCTTGACGGTGTTTACTTGAATCCCGACCCTTCCCTTTCGGTCCATTGATTCCCCTTCTTTATTAAAATAACTCCACTTTAAAGTGAAAAATCCACAGCAGTTCAAGAGACCTTGATGATATCATAATTGTAAAAGTTGACACAAACTGAGAACGCAATATATTACAAGAAAAGATTGTGAGGGACACATAGATGTTTGCTCTTCGACCCGTAAAAACGAGTTTCCATTTTTCAAATTTTGCCGATATTTATTTTGAAAACGTCACATGGAATGTATTTTCTTTGATTAATCATGAGTTTGAAATTGCCTTTATGTGTTCACTGATCCCTGCTAAATTATCTCTTACTCCATAGATTGGCTCGTTACACCACGGTCTGGGATGTGTAAGTATTTCTCTTTCTGTCATCAGCATTCTGGTCATGGTTGTTTGGAAATAGCATATTTGTATGATACCCAAAGGCTTTAGGGAAAAGACACAGACACATGGAAGGATATATCTTTTTGGCAGTCGATATCTTAAAAGCCTTTTGTAACACAAGAAGAAGACAGTGCAGTAATGTTGCTGTATTGTGTGTGCAGGTATTGTCCCTCCCCCATCGGAGACTCGTATGTTACTGCAGACTCTTTGAAGTGCCCGACCCCAACAAACCACAGAAGTTGGGCCTGCACCAAAGAGAGATCTTCCTCTTCAACGACCTGCTTGTGGTATGGCAAACATCACTTTTCCATCACACTGGGATCACACTTGGGTGTTCCAAAGAAAAGACAAGAGTCTAAACCACATTGCATGCTCTTGTTTTTTTCTTAGGTTACTAAAATTTTCCAAAAGAAGAAGAACTCTGTGACATACAGCTTTCGTCAATCCTTCTCCCTCTATGGAATGCAAGTGCTTCTCTTTGAGAATCAGTGTAAGTGCCCTTGAGACTTTCGAAAGGCATCAGCATGCTTTGAACTAGTTGGTTTAAGAACACTTCGAAAGTCAAAGTGTTTATGGCTTTTTGGAATTGCCCTGCTGCTGGGCAGAGTGAAATATTGTAATCATAGAGAGGGACCACTCGTGATAAACTGTGTATATTTAGATTGATGAGTACCTTGTCAGGCATTCTCGCCTGCCCAATGTTGTTCTTACTCTTAAAAAACAAAGTCTCAAGCTCACATAAATGGACTTCACTTATATAGGGCTCTGCTGGATGTCATACAGTAATACATTTACTGTTGACAGAGGCTTCTGTACAAATTTATTTTTACATATCTTCACATTTAGAGATAACTCCAGGTGTAATTTGAGGTTTAAGGTCCCCAAATGTATTGCAGAGGACCTATTCTCTTACACAACTAATCTTTTGTAGCATGTACCGCAGGGTTTTAGAGACAACAAACAAACCCTTGCTTCGTGTTCACTTCACCAAGTAGGCTTAAGGTTGTTGTGTTTATTATGTATTATTATGGGGCAGTAGTTGTCAGAGTCATCGTCTCTCAACTGGAAGGTCGAGGGTTTCGATCCCAAGCTCCTGCAGCCACATGTCCGATGTGTCCTTTGGCAAGACAGTTAACCCCGAATTGCTCCCGCTGCTTCGTCGTCTTCGTATTAATGCTTCTGAAAGGGATTATTTACTTCTGATAGCCTCTACCATCAGTGTGTGAATGTGTAGGTGTGACATGCTATGTAAAAGCACTTTGAGTAGACAGAAGACTTGAAAAGCGCTATACAAGACCAAGTCCATTAACCATTACCATTTATGTGAAGTTACAAAAGTCACAGACACCAGGTTTAAATATCATAATATAAATGAAAGGAGTGAGGTTTCAGACAGTGTTTAATGATCCAATAAGCATTTCATTTAAGGCATACTATCTCCTCTATCACAGCAGTGTGATAAGTGTTTCTGTGTTCTCCCATAGTGATGTGTAACACGGTGTTGTCCTCACTCTTAGATTATCCCAATGGAGTCCGTCTGACCTCGGCCATTCCTGGAGCTGACATCAAAGTCCTCATCAACTTCAATGCACCCAATCCTCAGGACCGCAAGAAGTTCACCGACGACTTGCGAGAGTCTATTGCTGAAGTCCAAGAAATGGAGAAGTACAGGATAGAATGTGAGCAGAGGAGTCAAGTCTTTGTCTAGTTTTCATCCTGACTATACTTTTTATGTCAGATCAAATGAATATTATAAAGGAGAAGACTCTTCATTAATGATGACTTTGCATGTTTGTCTCATTTTACAGCTGAATTAGAAAAACAGAAGGGGGTGGTGAGGCCCAGCATGTCCCAGTGTTCTGGGTTGAAGAAGGATACAGGTAATGGGAACCTGAGCCGAGGAAGCCTTGACGACAGCTACGCCATTGGTGAAGGTTTGAAGAGGAGCGCCCTCAGCAGCTCCCTCCGTGACCTCTCAGATGCAGGTAACATTTAGTGTTGCTCTGGTGACTATCATTAGTTCTATTCTCATCCCTATGCTAGACAAAGTAGAGTGTTAATACCCAAGCTGGATCCTGGCATGATACTATCCACTCCTTTTTAGATGTTAACTGATTTGGAAACTTGGAAGAAGCTGAGTTCCTGTTTTCTTGTTGGGTTTCAATTTGACTGTTGGTCACTTCAACTGGGCGCTAATGCTGAGCGTCTTAGTGATTACACCTCCTGAGCCATAAAGCCAGTGAAGCAGGGAGATAGAGATGGGTGTATTGGCTAATGGGCACAGGTGTAATTTACTACAGACTATCACCTAATAATCCTGCATCACTGGCGGGGGAGGAGGCAGCGCTATGTGGGTCACTGTGATCAATTTGAGCGTCTTAGCGGTAAGAGGAATTAATGTTGTGTGGTTGATTTAGGCAGGGTGTACAGAATAGCCTCGACACTGCAGACACTGCTCTGCACGAACACTCTGTGACCTCAACACAGGGTTCAAACTAATAAAGCAAAAAAAATTGAATTTAGCTGTTTGCTTTTGATGCTTTTTGAATGAGGCCAAACACATTTGAGTGCAAGTCTTTATAAAGCCAAGCCAAAACTGGATTTTGACTATAATTCCTTTAGGGGGATGTTTGTGCATCACTTCATAAAATTAAATTTGCAAGAACTGACGTTTGTTTACGTATAACTGACTCAACTGCATTAATAAGGCTCCCTCTACACTTCCAAGGAACTCTAGGTTTACAAGATTAGTTTATATGAGGTCAGTTTACCGGTCATGGGGAGTGCTGCTCACTGTTTGAAAAGAGTTGTATGATGTATTCTGTGCTATCGAGAATCTAGAGAACCCTAAAGATGTCCAGAGGGAAATTTTGATTTGGACTTGGAGGCTACAAGTTACGAGCAGAAGGTACTTTTTAGAAAGCTGGAGGTGTGGAGTTTTTTTTTTTACATTAACAGAGAGGGTCTAATACAATTACTGGCCATATTGGAAATGTAGGTTCCAGAGTTTTTTTGATCAGGACATATTTTCTGGTCTTTGATGTTGGAGATTTTAGTCTCTGCTGCATTTATTTTGTTGAAAAGCAAAATTGCCAGAATGCCCCTATAACATCTCAAGACTTCATGTCTTGTTTTTATGGGTAGATGTTTCAAGATTGAAGCTAACATTGTAAAGTGGTAGCAGTGACTTGCTTCTTCCCTATCCTTTAGCCTTATTCACCTCCCTTTGCCATACCAACAGTCTGCTTCTAGCTAGTAATGTGGCGCTTTTTGTCACCTAAGGGTGCTAGCACCAACTCCTCACCCCAGTAGACAGAAGGAATATTTGCACGCTGAAGTGTTTATCAGTTGGTCTAATCTGTCATGTTACATGTTCTGGGCAGGCAAGCGTGGGAGACGCAGCAGTGCAGGATCACTAGACAGCAATATGGAAGTAAGTAGGACGCAACTGATGCTGCGCTGTCCTCTGACTTTATGTTGTTCACTTTGAACACACTAGTCTCTGTCTTTTGTTTCTTTGTAGTGGGAGTTTTATTCTGTTTGGTGGTGTTTTTTGTTGTGAGCACATTGGTCACTGTGCATGCGCATTGGGCTGAGGAGAATCACCTGCTGTGGCTGACACATTGATGTACAAAAGCATGACACGACTAATAACACTACTGACTCACATTCGGGTTGTTGATGTTACACTCACCTTTCAGCTTTCTTCAATCGTCCCATTCAAGCCATTTCCTCAAGCCCTTTTTTTTGTCTAATTTAAGAAACCTGGCTGTGATTTTTCAGTTTAAGCTTCTGCATGCTCACACAGTTTGAAGTGACACTTTCACACTCCTTCCTTTCACCAGCTCATTACCTTGACAAGTTATTCCTCTTAACTTCTTTCTATCATCACATTTAGCCAGAAATGTAATACAGTAATAGTTCAGCCAAGTAGAAGGCACAGCAGTGTTACTATTAAGCACACGGACGAGCTAGTAAATCAGTGTAACTAACTGTTAGCAGATAGCTAAATCAGCTTGATCCACTTTTGTATGTTTTGAGAGGAGCCTAAGCTATAGGTTAAAACATCTTGTTTCCTTGAACACAGGTGGTAAGTAGGTGTTTTAGAAAGCGTGGATGCACTGAATAAACGAGTTAGCTGGCTAACATGCCAGCTTGGGTTAGCTAAATCTTGGATAAGAAATAGGGAAAGGGCTTCTTTAGCATTTAGCTTTAAAAAAAGGGATTATTATTCAATATCAGACGTATGAGATATATTTTTCTTTTATAATTTGAACTTTTAGTACTCCTTATTCCTTATTCTGCCCTAGGGACATTATCTAGAACTTGAATGGAAAAGTATGCAACAGAAGACTCTTGTATTTTTCTTGGTATTTTGGTCATTTAAAAAAAATATATTTTTCATCCTGTTGACGGTCCAACATTTAAAAAACTATTATTAGTTATTGCAAGTGTCAGTTAATTCTGTCAATTTAATACAACACAGAAATGGTGGGGTGTAGTTTTTCAATTTAGAGTTCCAGCGTTCATATCTAAAACCGCAGCAAAACAAATACAGCCCTCCTGTTAAGCGTTCCCTCAGAGGCTCTGTTTCGCTAAATTTAAGGAGGCACACTGCCACAGAAACAGCTATAAATAACTAGCAATATGGCAGAATCCGTAGTGTCTAGAGATCATTTTTTTTGCTATCTTTGTAAAGACTATTTCCTAAGGAGCATGGGCACCTTAGTGTTAGCTTGTTGGGGTTCAGAGTACTGCAAGACACTTGGTTTGAATATGGTTACATATCAGTCTGAGCAACTTTGTATTTTATTTGCAGAGCTGTTGCTATGTTCAAACAAACAATGTACTAGTTTTCATCCCGCACAAAAAAAATGGACAGCTGGTTCACCATTCAGATATATTTGCTGAACCTCATACAAGATCGATAAGAAACCTTTCATGAACAACTATAGGAACATCACAACTTGTGCAGTCTGCATGTTATGCATGGCTCTGAAAGAAATGCTTCATATTCACAAACATTTATTTTGACTGTTCTCTTGTCATTCTGTGTAACTGTGCTTATATTTGTGAAGTTTTTGGGGTTTTTTTTTGGCTCAGTGGGACTTTAGAAACATCAGAGCACATCAGTTACTTTGTGTACAGTTTACCGGCTGCAGCTTCAGATTGTTCTGCAAAGGCTCAAAAGTGAGGCCACATAAAAATCAAAGAGAATACTGTAACCTTGGAAACTGGATAAAATGCTGACAGAAACTCACAACAGCATCGGCAGTCAGCGTCTGAAGACTTAGAAGCTGTTTGTCTGCGCATGACAGATACAGAGGGGCTCGTATAAGCTCCGCAAACTGAGCCTGCGAACAATTTAGAGAGACAGTCGACTGTGAAATGTTAGGAAGTGTCGACAAACAATGCAGTGAAACGGGAAAAGGAAACAGAGAAGCTTTACCACAAGGCAATATGGGCAGTCATGTGAGATTTGAGATCAGCTGTAGCCGGTACTGAAGTTTAAGGGAGAATGTAACACACCTTAAAAGCAAAAAACAAAAAACAAAAGAAAAGTTTATTTCTGTACTGATGTTTCATCCTCCAAAAATTCTAAAGCTGGTCGACAACTATGATCTGCACAAACCTGGGAAAAACTAGAGACAGGGAAGATAGAAAATGACTAAAATGCATTAAATTTAAATGAATGCATACAGAGAAAGAAAGAGTGGAGGCGGCAAGAAGTCTTATAAAGTCCCCGCGCAATCTTAACTTCTAAGTCTACCAAAGCAATGTGAGCAAGGCTTAACAATGAGCTTTATCCAAAAGGAATATTTTAAGACTAATCTCAAACTTAAAGAGTGTCTTCCTTGTAAAAACTGGAAGAATCCCGCCAGAGAAGAGCCTAAATATCTAAAGTTATGCCTCCCATACTACTTTTGAAAGTGTGCGTACCAAAAATAGGCCTGCTTCCTGTAAGAACAATGCCTCAGAGGGGTAGTAGATCACTTTAAGCTCTTCCTGCTGTCTCACTTCTGTGGTCTGACCGTCCTCTCTCTCTTGCAGGGGTCCATCATTAGCAGTCCTCACATTCGGCGGAGAACTCCTTCCAGCCGAGACTGCCCATCCCGCCACAGCGGCCAGTCCCTTCCCAATTCCTCCTCTCTGCTCGGATCTCTGTTCGGCACCAGACGGGCGAAGTCCCCCAGCCCGACCCCGCAGCCAGTGCACCCCACCCTCATCTCCCACACCCCTCACCCCGCCAACTTGCACCACACAGCCCGGTCGGAGACAGACACGCCGGTCCCCATGCACCCGCACCACGCCCAGTTCTGCCACATCACCCAGAACCCCCCGCCTTACCACCACCACCACCACTACCACCCGCCGGCCCACTTGCAGCACCCTCCGCACCAGTACCACCCGACCCCCTCGCACGGCCAGCAGCCGCCCTTCCTGCCGCACGCACAGCACGGCCACAGTGGCCACCCGGCACACTCCTCCCACGCTGCTCATGGCGCCCACCACCACGGCCCGCCGCCAGCACCCTCCCAGGCACCGAGCAGCACCAAGCCCAAGCACAGCGGCATCAGCACGGTGGTCTGAGACACACAGGGGCTCTCTTTTCTGCTCTCTGACTGAACTTTGATTTTACCCTGAGGCTCTCGGCTGATGATGGGCTGGGTATGTGAAGCCAGAAGAGATCCTGTGCCTCCTTTTTAAGCATATTTTCTTTACACCCGTGACATGGGCAGAATATTCAGTAGAGACACTTTTCCTTCTCCAGTTGCTTCTTTCATTTGATTTCAAGTCACACTTCATCGTCTGCTTGCTTTAACAGCAACGGACGCCGACATAAGAGCATGCACAAAGACCACAACTACTGTTTCTCCTCCACAAATTAAAGAAATATGATCAAATATCTCGCTTACAAGTATTTTACAGAAGACGTAAACAGTAATCTTGCAAAGTGAATTCATCTAGTGCAAGGGTAGCTAGACAGACAGATAGACGGACAGTCATCCTCAGCAGTAGCTGTACGAGTATTTAATGTAGCGTTAGCTCACAGTGCACTGTGATATCTCTGTTAGCAGTGATCAATGTGCCAATTTACTAATTTAGTCACAAAAAAAATGCTTTATGTATATTGTGCATAGTATTTTGTAACAAATAATATCAACAGTTATTATTCTAATTATAATTACTACAGAACAAATGACATCATTCAATCTCTCAGTATTATACTCGCACATAGGGGGCGTAGTTTCACTGTTAAGAAAACAATCAGAGCTTTTACTAGTTAGTTCATTCAGTGAGCTGGAGCACTATCTATTGCCTTGAGTTAGAGCTCTTTTAATGGAGTTGAAGGCTGATGCAGACTCACACAGCAGCCCTGATACAGTCTCCTCCAGTGACTGCACTCTCCTTCGGTCCAGAGTGGTCTCTGAGGAAGGAAGCCACAACGAGCCGCTGAACAAACAGATCTATCTAAACGTCCACCCTGCAGTACTGGCTGCCTGTCTGGCATCATTTTATTTTTTTTAAACTATTTTTTTAGAGTCCAACAAAACTATGAAAATGCTCTATATGTTTTTACAGCAAACCTGGTAGGATTCTTTGATTCTGTTCTGCAGAAGGAGGAGATGGGGAGGTTTTTGTGTGTGTGTGTGTGTGTGTGTGTGTTTGTGTGTGTAGCAGGGAAACAGCAACATGACTGTAACAGTGTGTCTCCTGAGGTGGAAGCTCTCAGCTGGCTGAGTTGTGACCTCTGTGTCCCTCTTGAGGTTTTATTGTGCGTCTCTCAAGCGGCACGCCTGTTGTGCGGTGCTGTTTACTCCCTCCGTCTGACTTTTCTTTTTTTTCCTCTGAGCCACACGAACGACACAGTACAAAAATCAATAATTATCATTCTGTGATGGTGACAGCTCTCTTATGCCTCACTCACCACAAATGGCAGTTTTATATCAAGCATTTTTCTGACATATTTATGGGATGGCTGGTTATACCTCAGGGCCATCCTGATCACAGTATCTAGTGTGTGTGTGTGCTGAGCGGTGGCAAGGGGGGGGCTGCTGTGCTGGAGCGTATTTTATATTGAAAGCGATAGACGCGGCACTTGTTTTATTTAGTTAATATCAATGGCAGAAGTTAGTCTGTATCTGCTAAAGACTATGAGATGGATTTTTTTAACATGTATGTGCAATATGTATTTACTTTTTTTCTTTTGTCTCAGAACGGCTGCAATCCGTGGCTGTTCTATTTGCTAGTTCAGTTAGTTTTGTCTTTTTCACCCTTTGTCCTTCGTCATTTCTTCCTCAGTGTTTCAGTAAAGTATCCACGTGGATTTTGGAGGGACTGCATCTTTCTAATTGATAAAGAACGATCGAAGAAAAATACTAGCATGTAACAATGTATTTGAGGCTATTTTCTAACTGTTGTGTATCCCAAAAAGCTATATCAATGTTGAAGAAGATATTTGTTGAGAGTGATTTATTTGTACAACAAAAAAGAAAAAAGTTTTGAATTGTTCCGACCCCCCAAAAACACAGTGCATCAATCGTTCGAATCTCAAAGTAATCACAGTGGGTGAGATGAATTCTTAGAGCGGGCGTAATGAAAGTTGCTCTCAAATCTGAGTGATAATAGACAGGCAGCTATAAGTGTAATAAATGGAACTCTTTTATCACCTTATTTATCACCTCTCCCTGGCAGTACATTACTCTTTGCAAGTCAGTGTCAAGTAGATCGCTGTTTTTCTTTCTGCAAATTTTATAAGGCACTCTTTTTAAATGGTTTATAAGTTTTAATGAGAATAGTTTACTTACGTCGGAGTTGGTTAACGTTAGTTTAATTCATGTTGATCAGCTCGTTAATTAATCCTTATGAGCAAGAAGAGTAACTTTTTGGTTGCCATGTGCACATATTCCCTTTCCAACGAATAAAATCCACTGAGAAAAGACAAAAAGATGCTGTTTCCCCAGCACATTTTGTATATTTCTTGATTCTGGATGTCTTATAGCCATCCTTTTTTTTAAGCTAGAATTTACTAAACAGATTAACAGTCCTCAGCATGTGGGTAGCCTACCACCTCTAAGTGTAGAAACCACAGTAGGAGGTAGCTAAAGACATGAAGAAGAAACCAAAATAACTCTAATGATCTGAAATGTACATTCTTTTCATCTTAAAATCATACGTTAAGTAAAAAAAGCCATTTCTTAAAACCTATAAACCCTCTATGAAGTGTGCCTTATTACAATGGTACTGTTTTAAAAAATATAATATATATATATATATATATATATATATATATATATCTGCCATAAATACAGCGTTTCAAGCATTTCAATCCAGTGTAGTTTCATTTCTGTGGAATCAGAAAAGTGCCAATATTGCATGGTCATTACATCGTAAGTCAGATTAACACCAAGTCCATCGGGGGACCAAATTGAATTGACCCGCCACAAATCCGCAGTAGACCGCTCACAACGTCTGTTTTAAGACAAATGTCTGATAATAAAGTTATTTTATTTGCAGAATAATGACACAGACAGACTAGAATAAAGGTAGCTCATCACAATGATGCCGGTCCTTTGAGTTATACTAAACAAGTGTGTTTTCAGCCTCGACCCTCCAGTTCCTTCAGATGACTGATGTATTGTAAAAAAAAAAAAAAAAAACCTGTCCAGATTCCATGTGAGGTTCTTTGTTGCATGCCATTAATGCCTACCGTTTCTTTTTGTATGTCTCCTCTTTTTTCGTTTTTTGTCTTTTTATGTGTCGTTCTGTTGGGCACCAGGCTCGACTGGACCCCTCAACTTTCAGTGTAGCTTTGATTTCTCTGACTGATGCTTGTTTACATTTAGATGATTTCTGGCCTACTATAGTATTTTTTTCATTGAAAGTTATCCTCTGGCATGCATTTTCCCTTTTTTTCCCCACTGTACAGTATAAAGACAAAGCAGTATACTGCGGAGTGTAAATAAAAAACTCCACCCGGAGAAAATCTAATGTAACTCAAGGAAGCGGGTTTGAAAGGGAGGACACATGAAAAGGGTGGGCCGATAGTAACGAATGAGAACATGTAAATAATCTGTAAATTATTATTAATATAATTATTATTATTATTACTACTCAATGTCTGCAGTTGCATTGAAGCTGCATTCCTGCTCCCTCTGATATCGACATAATCATCGACTGCTTCTCTCTGCCTCCAACAGGACTGAATTATCATAGGATCTAGAGATGAACAGCTAACTGTTACACAGTCAACACAACTTCTGACTTATTTCCTGAGAATCTCCTGTTCCGTCACACTCACAGCCCACTTTTTGAAGTCGAAGCGAAGGGAGGAGTGCTCTTATTTTGTTATGCATTCTGTTTCTAAGTAGACAAAACCCCATTGATGTAAAACTAGTACTGTGACGATGTTGAGAACGCAAAATAAAGCGATATATACTGTTAAACCTGGTGGTTATCGTGTGTGTCTTTATTTATTCAGAGAATACCATTTCTTCATTTAATGACTGAGTTATTGGAACCTCATCTTCTGTGTTTTTCAACCTAAAGTAGTATGCACTTATATACTGCAGTACGATCTTGTGACCACTCTTGTCCAGGTTTTTCTTTACTTGAAATGCTCTTTGAGTGCTTGAAGAATCCAAAGGACACATTAAAGACAAGGTTGATCATTTTCTCCAGATACACTTTTTTAAGATTTTGTTTGAAATTGTCTTTAGGTCCTGACAGAAATTAATAACTCATGTTCTCTGAAAAAGGAATGAAGAAAATCTGTAGCAGTGTAAGTCTGTAAAACTTTGACCAATGTCTGCCACGAGGTACCAATCTGATGAACCAATCAGACGCCTCCCTGCCTCCCTGCTCGTTCTCTAATCCTTGCGTGCACTTGCCCACACTCAAAGCGCGTCACCGATGACAGTCGTTGCCTGTTGTGAGTAGTAAAATAGTCACTTTTAAAAAAAAACATGTATTATGAGACATGAGACGACGTAGTTTCTACACAATGCAGGAGATGAGCTGAGGTCCACTTCTGGAGCAGCGGCGCTCGAGCATGTAAGTGAGAGGCGTGGCTTTTGAGCGAATGTTACTTTCAAAATCGTGCTAGTTTGCGAAAATGAACAACCCTTCCTTTAAGATTTACAAACTGATCTTCCCATAGGGCCACATAAAAGGCCTCTCCATCCAGTAAAGATACATTAAAGTCTTTGGACCAAACTCCTGAGGGCTTTTCTATCTAGAGTCGTCCTGCAACCCTGGGACTGAAGTTGTACTTTTGACAGAGCAGGCAATGCTTCACTATGCCTTGGATGGCACAGCAGATCATTGGGGGTCCAGTTGCTCAAGGATGAGCTGGGAAGAAGACAACCGGTGCTATACATATTTGACCACTACCTATTGAGCCACGTCCTCCAAATATAAGCACACAAAGAGCAGATCTATAGCTCTTCATAAAGTAAGTCTGAACTGTTTCATATTTTGCAAAGAGTCAGACATAAAAGAAGCTGAATTCATATTAGAATAAATCAATTTGAGTCTTCCTCCAAGCATAATGTTTTTATGACTCAATCAATATAATTCTTTATCACCCCCAAGCAGTGGGCATGAACCAGACGTTTTGAATACCAAGGTCTTGAGCCCAAGTTCACCTGGCTAATCAGAAGGGCAATTCCAATAACTTGCACATGCTCACAAGAAAAGGCCGTTCAATTAAGTTAATTGCAAAAAAAACAACTATTTTAGTTCCTTAAATATGGCAACAGTGACTTCCTCACGTTTAGATGATTCATGACGCTGTCGGTGCGTGAGTGCAGAGCAATACCCTCCTTTTTACTTTTATGAACCACACAAAGGTCAAGTGTGTGGTGGTTGCTGCCTGATAAATGTTTTGCCTTGATTTGTCTTCATGGCACTAGTAAATAGAAAACGAGGGATGTGTCTTGCAACAAAGGGTAACAGTTAAAAAAAGGTAATTAAATATAAATATGAAACATCATTTCCTTAAACGAGCCTATTAAAATGAATGTAAAAAGCAACTATTTGAATAAACCAAACACAATTGAAGTTGTTGCTGGTGATGAAAGTAAAACAGTACAATACACTGATTCTTTCTCGGCCTTGTGCAACGAACATTCCTGGCTTCCTGCCTGGCTGTGGCAGGTGGTCAGAGTGACAGTCTGCCCTGTTTGTCTGTCCGGCCCTTGAGGTTGGAGCTAAAAATAGATCTCGGCTTTGAGGGCCACATCCTCGGTGACAACAGTGCTACGTCACCGTGCAGCTGGGAGGGGACGAGCACAGGACTTCATTTCGTCTGCCTGCAAAATACGTTTTTTTGTTGCACAACTTTAACACTCACTGATACGCTATTTGCACAAAACCGCTGCATATAATTGTCATATAGCCTATGTTTGTATTTTCTATATCCTCAGCCTAATAGTGTTTTGTTGGAGGATGAAAGTTAAAAAAAAAACTTATGTTAAACGTTTTTTTTTTTTTTTTAATAAAAGTACTCCCACATGTTACAAACATTGACTGTAAATGCAAAAAAAATATATATATATATATATATATATTCCATTGCTTGCACAGATTTGACGTTTCTTTGTGCAGTGCGTCACCAAGTGGCGTTTTTGCGCCACATACATATTGTTATGTAAGATTCAAGTACCGTCGGAAATATCTATCGCGCATATGACGACGGCTGCAAATGGAGCTGGAAATATAAAATAAAAATATGAGCTAAAATGATTAATAGGCTACAAATAGCTTCTGACTAGCACTGAATGGTTGCTAGTCAATGGTTTGTTATTAAACGTATTACACTAACTGTGAGTTTTAGTAAAACGGAAACAGAATATTTTAACTTTTATTTGCATTTTCGCATTTTTCGTATTATTGTACATCTTTAGCTTTGCTATCATACTCCTGTGTAGTATAATAGCCTATTTAAGGCTTTAGAGCCGAAATGTTAAATTGAAATACGATTTACGACGGTCTTTGAAGGTATTATCTAACCAGCTGAGTGAAGTACGTCATCAGTGTGAGACCGAAAAGGGTGAAAGGTGTCCTGACAGTGGTTGTGTACAGGGTAGTAGAGGTCCGCACCAGAAGAAGAAGAATGATGAATGTAAATAGATTCGTGGTTTTCTCTAAATCTGTTAAACTCACAAAGCGGCTCCTCGTCTGTCACGTGCGACCAGCTGGGAAACAAGAGCTCCACGTTCAACAACAGAGATCCATCAAAACTCACTCCAGAAACCTCGCTTATGCCAAAGATTTGTTCCTGGGCCAGGTGAACAAGGTGAGGCAAACACACACGATACACATATACATTCAAATTCAAATTTAAAAAACTTTATTTGTCCCCGGGGGGCAATTCAAAGGCACACAGAGCAGGAAGTTAACAACAGTGCAGGTAGAAACATTTTAACCTAAATATAAAGTGTCAATTTAAATACAGCATAAAGCTTAAACTTAACTTAAAAATGCAAAATATGAAGGAGTAGTTAAGTTATATATATATATATATATATAGTCAAGGATGGTATACGTATACTCGTCTATATAGTATATTATAGTATATTATAGTATTATATAATTCTAGTAAAGTTAAAGTACAATAAAATATTGGAGCCCGACTGATTAATCTGCCAGTCGATAATATCGTCTGATATCAAGTGACTATTTTTATTTATTTGTGACACTTCATAGGCGATATGGACTAAAACTCATATCTCGATATTTTATTAACGGTCAGTTGCAAAAGTTCAACATGTACATGAAAACAAAATACCTGTCTGTGAAATTAATTCATTTTCTGCATAACAAAATAAACACAGTTCTGTGTTTTGTTATCCATTTAGTTTGTTGAGTTTGAGAGAGAGAGAGAGAGAAGCAGGGTGAAGAGAGAGAGAGAGAGAGAAGCAGGGTGAAGAGAGAGAGAGAAAAGCAGGGTGAAGAGAGAGAGAGAGAGAGGGTGAAGAGGGAGAGAGAGAGAGGAGCAGGGTGAAGAGAGAGAGAGAGAGAGAGAGGGTGAAGAGGGAGAGAGAGAGGAGCAGGGTGAAGAGAGAGAGAGAGAGAGGGTGAAGGGGAGAGAGAGAGCAGGGTGAAGAGAGAGAGAGAGAGAGAGGGTGAAGAGGAGAGAGAGAGGAGCAGGGTGAAGAGAGAGAGAGAGGTGAAGAGGGAGAGAGAGGAGCAGGGTGAGAGTGAGAGAGAGAGAGGAGCAGGGTGAAGAGAGAGAGAGAGAGAGGTGAAGAGGGA